ATATTGTTTCATTGTCATGATTATTAAGTGCTGCAACGATTCTTGAAGTTGTGTTTCGATACACTGTACTCGATAATTATAGCGATTCATGTATTAGAAAAGGAAAGAGAAAAAATAGTAGAAATTTGTATATTTTTAACAAGTTTGTCTCTATTAAGCACTTGAGGATGTGAGCAAGTAAGAACTTGTAAAAAAAATCATGATTTTTTGTAAATTTTGATGTGAAAATGAAAACATGACACAATTTTTTATATATACGAGGATTCTGTGTCATTTGTTATTAAACGGGGCTAAGAATTAATTTTATTTTTATCCAAAGCAAAGCATTTATAAGAAGAAAAGAATGGCGGTTCATTGATTCATCGGTGAATCATTGCAGTCCTAATGATTATGTATGTATCGAAATTCCAAAACTGGTTAACAACATTTTTTCAGAAATTCCATAGTTAAAATTTGTTGTGCTTTAAGGTTTTTTTTTCTAAGACAGCAGGAATGCAAATTATTATGTAAATTTCATCATTAACAAATATTTTAATTACATGTATAAAGTCTTTTGAAAAAAACCCATATGATCAAGACTTCTCACTTTGTAAGTCTATGGTAGTTTTTTTTTTTATAAGCAGGGAAGTGGTTCCTGGGCCTCTAAACTCAAAAGAAAGCACTATTGCAGATAAATAATGAAACTATTTAACACATAAGCACCATTTTGATTAAACAAACTTTATATGCAAGTTATTACACAAGCCACCCATGATCTGACAAAGATTCTGTATTAATTCTGTTCTGTTAAAAGTGTAATGACAATACAAGTCAATGTTTAACACAGAATATCCAAGAATTCCTCACACATAGTTAGGAAACCTTTCTAGTACAGAGCATTTGATTGGTTGAATATTGAATGATCAAGCACACAAGACACATAACAATGTTATCAGATCATGGATGAGAAGTGGAGTCAACTGCAGAAACAAAATATCAACAAGCGTTATGAGGAAATAAGACATTAAATTTTATAGAAGATTTGAACCAATGACCACCAATTCTAGGTCTTAACAGGAAAAAATGATTTTAGAAACTTTTTACATTTGATTTGCTTCTCAAATTTTGACCATAATGTTTTTAATAAAATGTAAAAATAAACAATCCGTTCCATTCATTCATTCATTCATTCAACCACAATCCTTTTCATTCATTCATAATTTGGTTGTTCGTTCATTCATTCTCTCATTCATTCACTCATTCCAGACAATAAATTATAAGGACATATTTCTTCCCTCTATACTAATACCAACAGCTTTCTGAGTTTTGGAATGTTTTTTACGATCTGCGAAGGCTCTCTTGTGTTTTTCATATTTGTTGACCTTCTTTTTGGATGACTAAAAATATAAAATGCATTGTTTTTAGATTCTACTAAATCTAACTCTTCTTGGGTTAGAACAATGGTTCCTAACTTTTCTCAGCCTTGATACCCCTGGAGCAATCATTTAGACCTTTCACACCCCCCAAAATTTGTTTCATCCACATTTTCAGCATGTGATGATGTGAGGTGCTCTCTCAATTCAAAATAAATTCTTCTCCTATACCAGTTGGTCACACCCCTGACACCCTAGTCCCACACCCCCAGGGGATGAAAACACCCTAGGTTGGGAACCAGTGGGTTAGAAGAAAATGAACTAAAAAACAACCCCATAAAACTGCAAAACAGAGGACAAATATGCATTATCACAAAAGGCCCTTCCCAATAAGTGACATCATCAAGCACTTAATGAAATTGGAATTGCAGGAACTACAGACTTCTAAAATTCAGAAAAGCTCCTTACAATCCCTTAAGTTGTATTATCAAGCTTAAGGCCAAACCAAGACCAAAAACATCTTGCTTACCTTAGATGGTACATATTCCATTTCATTATGTGGTCGGTTGACGTAGTCTTTGTTTGAAGGTGCTGGAACTCGTGCTCTCATGATAAAGCCTGGATCACCAGGTCTCACAGCACTGAAAATATACGACATGACATTTAAAGGTCTACTGTTGTCTAGATATATCCATTACCAGCTGAAAAAGCTGGATTTCAGCTATCCATGGCACTTTTTAGAATTAAAATTTGACACTCAGTTCTCTTACAATTGAACAGAAATATACTCTTCTCTTTTAGACTATCCTCGTTTTCTAGTTGTGAAAGTTATCATTTTCATATATCAATATTAGAATATTAATCTCTGTGCCAAGAAAGCTGATTGGTTGATTCTATAGCCATATGTTATTATCCAATCAGAATTCACTTTCTTGGCAGTCTCACATACAGTTATGTTGTTAATAGCAAAATGTGCTTGGCAATCTGATTGGCTGATTTAATTGCCAAGATATTATTAACCAATCAGATTGCTAAAATATAACTAGATACGATATTATTTCAAGATGTCTGACAAGTCTGAAAAGAAAACAATTAAAACTTACCCATCAGTACCAGCCATGGCTTTCTCCATATCTTTTCTGACTTCTTCACCTTCAGTACTGTAATATTAGAAATCATATACAAGGGGAGGCAAATCTTGTTCAAAATTCATTCTTAGAATCATTTCTTTTCCAAAGGGTCATTTTTGTGAGAAGATATACGAAATTAGCTTTAAGCTTTTAAGTCATTAAAAACCTTTCTTGAGCTAGAATACATAGGCCGTCATCCTTACAAACCACTTAATGGCTCAGCTTGTGAACCGGGCATTCTTTCTAGAGAGTTCACACTGAGTGAATTTTCAATCTCTTAACTATAAAGGAATACATAGATCAAAAGTAGCTTTTATTGGAAAATCAAAATAAATATGCGTTGAGTCCATACCTGAGTCTTTGTTTCTTTGGAAGTAATTCGTAATCTCTCTGTGCTCGCTCTTCTTTGGTTAAGTTTTTAAAATTGCAGGTGAGATTAAAAATAGGACGGGACCATTCATCTAAAATGGGAAAAACAGTTGATTAAATCATGGCGTTATATAGTGATGTTCCAATTAACGGTAATTGAAAGTCCAGTGATGTTACTAATCGAATCTCAACTCAAAGTCGGTGACGTCGGCAAACCATATAAAAAGTCAGTCGTGTTGTTTTTTGTTTGTTTTTTGTTGATAATATAAAATTTCTAATAATGAATTTAACTTGACATATTATAAGATTAGGTGACTAAAACAATGAGATCCTGATAATTTGTCACACCTTTGATTAATTTTCTCGAGGACTAGCCTTAGATTCGGCACAGAAACGAATGCGGCATGATTTATAAATTAATTTATAAAGCCTTAAAACAAGTACATGTTCATTAAATGGGCTGTGTTTCGATTATATAACCGATTATGCCTCTTCGATTATTTCGATTAATCGATTATTATTTTCATCCGATTGCCCATCACTAGTGTTATACCAGTCTAATAGAAATTAGTCCACACTTTCCTTCAGTTTTTCATTAGCTCTTACTTTATTACAGCCACTTCAGTTAGGGTTTAGACTCTCATAAACTTGACTTACTTATAATTTTTCCAGCCAACTCTCGATTTTTCCGTGTTTCTTTTGGATGTTTGTAGAGGTACATGACAGCTTTACCGATTCCACTGGATTTGAGACTTTCAGGATTACTGGGAGGGAACTGCAATAAAAAGGAATCAAACAAATTTTAAAATGGATGATACAAAATTTTGAAGTACACAAGCACTCAGTTTAAGGAGGGACTATAGCTCAGTTGGATAGAGTGCTGGAATCTTGAAGTCACTTGATTGGTTATGATGAATTGTGATTGTTAGTTCTAATCTCACTTGCATGCACAACACTTGTGATATTTCCCTATTATCCAAGTTGACCTGACTAGTTTGGAAAATCCAGGACAGATCATGCCAAGAGGTTTGGACCAGAACCAGCTGGGTCCTTGTGAACCGCAGCTGGTAGACATAAGCTGATATCTTTGTGTAATAAAATTGACAAATTTTCAAAGGCTACGCAACAACTGAAATTTGCAATTGCCCATGTTCTACTTTTTAACAAAAGTATGTAAATGTGAGGAAAAATCCCCATAAAACAGAGCTTCATTTTTCTCACTCTACTCCAGCCAAAAATATCAAAATATCTATTAGAGGCAAGAATAGAAGCAGATATCAACCAGAGAACTCAAAATCTGCCCCCAGAGTTGTAAGCAGTCAGTCAATTTGAATCCATCTCAGTAAACTATAAAGATACTATATATAGCCTACCTGTGATAAAATATTTAATAAACTTTCTCGTATCATGAGATGGGGTAAACTTTTATCTGGTAGTGGAGCCAGCCATTCCTACAAAAACATATACTCAAAATTATCTATTTTTCATGAGCACCAATATAAAATGGATGATTTGTTCATGGCATGTGGGAAATATTCAAATAACCCTTCAGATGGTTGAAAATTAGGCAGATTTGCCTTCAGATTTCTAAAATTATAGCAATACCATGACCAAGAATTCAGAAAACCATGGGTCAAAAAATAAAATAAGGATCTTGCTCTCGTGCACCGGTTTAGGCTAAAAAAGTAAAATGTTGGCCAGTAAAATTTGAATGGTGCAAAAATATGCTACAAGTGTTCCCCATCTACCTACACTTGAAAACCTTTTTTGTACCTCCTTTCCTTATTTAATGAAGAGTGCTCTAACAATACTTACTGTTATAGCAGACAATATTCCAGCATCTAAGAACGCAGTATGTAAGTCTGATCTGAAAAAAGAGGGGCAAATAAAAAATGAATCGATATGTTCCCATATATCAGCCATTTTTGTTTTCAATCCTTCGTTTCTAAGCCTAATGACAACATTCTGCAGTGTGCAATAAGGTACATTTTTGTCATGATAGCTGCATCAGCCTATATTTTTGCATTATAAAATTTTTGTAGGATCATCGCCTATTGATCACAGGGCCTTGCCCAACTTCAACTCCTTAAGGAATGAAGCTCTACCCAGCAAGTAACATCCCCACCCCCACAGGAGCAAAAATTCAAGAAGTCTTCGGACATGGAATCAAACGATCAATAAGGATCACAGGTAAAATTATGATCTTGGAGATTATATTGTCCACCAACGAAGTAATGATTATATTGGTGTTTAATAAATATACCAAATTTTCTAGCTATGAGTCCACTGGACTCTCTGAAAGAGTCCTCAGATGCATAGTGGCATCATCCTGGTACTTACTTTTTCAACTGAGATAATATGAAGGGGAGGATGCTGGTACTTACTTTTTCAACTGAGATAATATGAAGGGGAGGATTTTAATTTTTTTGGTAGCTGCTTGACGTTTGTTGTTCAGTCCTCGGTCTTCCTGAAAGTTTACAAAAAATATGATAAAAAATGTCTAATGCTGAATTTGATAAAAATAAAAAAAGAGAATTTAAAATATAATGTTTATTGAAAAGCATCGAATCCCAAATTGAATTGATTTGATTGGCTGAGATTTCAAGGTCATTTTGATTGGACAATATTTCGCTATAAATACATCATTTCCTCACCTTGAGGAACTATGACGAATGAGGTTGTTGTTTCGACACAATAACTGGAAAGCTAGCTATTTTTTTTATCACATTGCTAAGATGCCAGGGTGGATTTTTGCCTCAGACAAAAGTTCTTAGTTAAGTCCTATTAATACACGTCAAAAGGTAGACAAAACTTTAGGGGTCCTCAAATTGTATGATCACCAGTTTGCAAATGTTTGCAAATAAGAATAGCGTTCAGAAGTTTTGAACGCAACTCTTAAAGTGGTACTATGTCTTAGAATTAACATATAATTTAAGAATTTTAAACTTGGCGAATAAGAGCCAGTAGATATACCAAAAATCAAAAAAGATGGCAACAAAAATGCTTACCTCAGCAGCGATCTTCATATTTTTAATCATATCAAAAACTAGGTCATCATTGTCGTTAATGAGGTCACAGTCCTTTCTCTTTCTACGTTGTCTAGCTTTCTCTTCTCGTGTCCTTTCCAACATACGATCAAAATCGGACACAAAATTACTGGAAAAATACAGAGATAATATTACTGAAATAACTGGTAGCCCTTAATCAAATCTACTTTAAAGGGACAGGTGTGCCATTTTTTTTTTAACAATCATACTTAATTCTCAGAAACATGATTTTTTTAGCTTGACCAATCAGTAATAGTGTTCACAGCTCACCATCGAAATTTGAGCTTTCAAATCCATGCCTGTCCAGAATTATCTGCATTTTAAAGTTAAAAAGACGTGTCAATTTTTTTTGAGACACTGCCAAATAAAGAAAAGACATATATAGAAATAATGAGTAAAATTCCTAGTTTGAGATATTTTTAAAGGAATTATGCGATTTTCGTACATTTCTAGTACTTTTGAAGTCTATTTACATGTATCCAAGATTCAAATCAACCTCCCAAAATGGCGCACCTGTTCCTTTAATGTGCACAGCCAGTATATAAGGATTCTGTTGACTGTCCCATCTTAACTACCACACACTTTTTTCATATCAGTCCAACTGACCTGCATCACTGACAAGGGGGGAAACCAGATTGAAAAATCCGAAGGTAGTATCCCTGCCAGATCAAATTTTTTTTTAAAGATGGGTTTCCTTGTTTTTTAGTGTCAAATTAAGCAAAGTATTTGATTAATTGGTGTTTCTAATGAATTATCATGTATTCTTAATCATATCATTATGTTCTTATTGCATATAATAAGAGTATTAACCAATCATAAATGTTCATGTATGTACAGTCTGGATAAACAAAAAAAAAAGACTCACTGAAATTCAACTGGTAATTCTCTTCTAATTGAGCTAATTATGAATTAATTATGGACATGTGAGACAAACTGGTATTTTTCCAAGTCATTAAAACACCTCTACTTTCTATTCATATAAGTATTTGCATTTTCATAAATGAAAATAAGGGAACCCATCTTTAAGATAATAGAACTTCTACTCGGGTTGAAGACTGAAAGAGCTAGGAATTGTAATCAATCAAATCTATCCACTTACTTCTCTTCTCCTTTCCTATCGTCCACTACTCCTTCATCAGAATCAGAGTCCTCTGCCGGTGCCGGTGGTACTTCTAGAACCTGACCACTCGCACCTTCTCCCTCATCATCAGATAGTACTGCTGTAAAGATGAATAAGAAATGAAATGTATGGAGTTTTACACCCTTCTGAAGCTAATTGGGCTAATGAAGACCTGCAACACCATGCAGTGTGCAATGAGGGAAATTTGCCAGGATATTGGCATTAGCATAATCATTTTCAATTTCCAACTGTCCAGGGATCTTTAATGTGCAGCTATAGCTTTCGCAAAGGCAAATGGATTCCGATATCAGTAACAGCTTTTGCGATAGTGACTTTTTGGGTGGACATGGTTGTCCGAGAGGACAAAGCTATAAGCTTTAAGCTCTTGGATGCAATTTAATGAATTTTAGCTCCACTACAAATACACAGTGGCAGCCTATTTAACAGCTACAAATTCAAAATGTCTGATTTGCTTTGTTACCTGCTTTCTTTTTCTTTGGTGTACCTTCCACATCAGCTTCACCAAAACCCTGAAATTTGTTTTTTTATGTTAGCTGTTTTTCTAGTTTATATGGTTCTTTTTTTTATCTCCATTGTAATCTAACGCAATTCTGCACCTATTTTCAATATATAACATGTATAGATGCCCAGAGAAAAATAATGAAACTCACTTCAAATTCTTCATCTTCATCATCAGAGCCAAAAATATCAGCAATTAATTTATCAGCTTTCCTGGAAGACAAATATTCCAGATTTCTCAAGAGAAAATTTTTATCAAGGGCAATAACTTGTAATAATTTTATTTTGAAAACCTCTTGTTTCCACTATGATGATTGAGCACCATAATTTCTCAAACATTTGATTTTTCAGTCAAGATTAAATTTATGATTTACTCTTTATTCAAGTCTTATATGCACCTGATGCCAGTTGTAGATTGGGTTAGTCCACTAAAAATGCACATAATTAAGGAATGAATGTGGATCTTGCTATCGTTATGGGGAAATAAACGCGAACTTATGTGACAAAACAAATGACCTGGCGAAAGTTTGTCACATGATCAAGAATCTATATTCATTCAAATCACTTGAAAATTTAACTGTCAACTCTCAAAATGTGTTTTTGGTTTTCCATTGTGCCTGTCAATCATTAAGAGGGCGTGTCAATCAGTAAGAGGGCGTGTCATAATAATATTAAAGATGATTGTGTTGAAGACCAGCAATATAATGCCCCGCCCCCACCTCCTCTTTTCTCTGAAGAAAGTGAATTGTGAAGCACTTACTCTCCCTTTTCACTGCCTTCATCATCACTGACAACATGTGCTACAAATTAAAAAAAAGAAATGTAAGAAAAGACGAACAGGAAGGAAGGGACATTCATATCTGACCTTGGCTCTTTAATATGCACAGTCTGTATCATATTGCTTTCAAATAATTTAAACCTGGGATTTACACAATATCTGGGCTGAAAGGAGAGCTAGTTTTTGAAATTTTGATTATGTTCTACCACAGGAATATAGGCGCATTTTCAAGCAAGCAAGCTCACTGCAGAAAATGTGCCATGGGCCTTTCTGATGCAAGCTATTTTCAACTGGATATTTTAGACAAACGGACATGTACAGAAAATAATGCTCAATTAAAGATGGATTCCCTTATTTTTATTTATAAAAATGAAAATGCTAAATGTCCATAATTAATTCATTATTAGCTAAGAATTACCAGCAGAATTTCAGTGAGTGACCGATCAAGAAAGGTCAAAAAGTCTCTTTTTTGTTTATCCAGACTGTACATACATTGACATTTATGATTAGTTAAAGCTCTTAATTATATGCAATAAGAACATAATGATATGATTAAGAATACATGAAAATTAATTAAAAACACCAATTTATCAAATAGTTTTCTTAATTTGACACTAGAAAATAAGGAAACCCATCTTTAAGAGCCCTAAATATCAATTCATTTGGTCAAAATGAGAAAAAAAGCCGTTACCTTTCCTTTTCTTAGCAACTGGGGCTTCATTATCAGTTTCATTAACCTTGTCACTGGAAAATATCAAAAATAAAATGAAACGAGAAAGGGTTTTACATCCTACTTTTCTACAAATATTAAAATGATAAAAGTTAGGTAACAGTAAAATCAGCTTTGTTTACAAATCTATATTGTTTAAAGGGGTTGTAAAGAGATTTCCAAACTTTAATGTGTAACAGGGACACTGTAAGCATCACTTTGCACTATTCAGATCTCTAGGATTTTTGGAATAAGTTTTAGTGGAATTGCAGGAACCACTGACGTCTGATTGATAAAAGGCCTTTTGTGATAGTGACATTATAAAACACCTAAATTTCAGTGGAATTGCAGGAACCACAGACATCTGAAAATTGGAATGGTGCTAATGGATGCTATCAGTTTCCCCGATTCACATAAAAAATTTAGAAAACCTCTTTATAATCCCTCAAATATTTACAGTTAAGCAATTCTTCTATAGTCACTGAAATATGGATTTAGTAACGCAAATACACATAAAAAAGCTAAAGAACTTCTTGACAACCACTATAAATTCTATTAGACTTACTCATCATTTTCTTTGTCTGAACCACTCATTGATGACCTTCGAACTTTGGCTACAGATGGTGACCTTGAACGACTTCTGCTTCTTGACCTACTGGAGCGTCTACTTCCTGCTCTAGAACCAGAGCCACTTCTACTTCTGGCACGTGACCCACTCCTGCTTCTTGACCTTGAACCTGATCTAGATCTTGCTGGTGACCCTGATCTAGATCTTGCTGGTGACCCAGAGCCTGATCTTGAACCAGACCTTGACCTTGCCGAACCAGATCTTGAACCAGACCGTGACCTTGACCTAGAACCAGATCTTGACCTCGGACTTCCAGACCTTGACCTTGCTGGTGACCCTGATCTAGATCTACTTCTGGAAGCTCTTGATGCTGGAGAACCAGATCTACTCCTGCTTCCTCTACGAGAACCACTTCTGTGAGAACCAGCCGGTGATCCTGGTGTACCCAGAGGGGAACAGGGTCCGGGACCTTGGGGTGAATTTGAACGGCTTCTACTACCAGCTGAACCTGCAGGAGAACCTGGAGCACTTGGTGGTGAACCAGGTCCAGGTCCCATGGGTGAGGCTGAGCGGCTGCGGACTGATCCTGCTGGTGATTGTGATCTACTTCTAGGAGGTGAACCAGGTGGACTTCCTCCTCTGCTTCCAGCTGGTGTTGGTGGACTGCCCATTGGTGCTGCAGGACTGTCAGCATCAAAATCATCCCCATCATTATCAACTTCATGTTCCACTACCTCTCTTTCAACTTCTTCCTCTTCATCTTCTTCGTGAAATTCTTCTCTTACAACCTACAGTCATAGAACATCATTAGAAAGAAAGAAGCAGCCATCTCTAACAAGATGTAATCTGCCATTTTTTCTTCATTTTCATCTATTCGAGCTGTTGATTTGACTTAATTTGTCGATTGCCGGACAGGGCAACTCAAACGACTAACCGTTAATATCCTCTGGACATGTCATTCAATGTTTGAAAAAAAATGAATGCCACGGACAACCTACCTCTCCTCCTTCATTGACATAATCTCCATCAGCATCCTCATCTCTTGACACCATTTCTACATCTTCTGATCTATCAGGTTTAGAGTCAATCAGTCCACCAGGTGTAGATGGCTTCTCCATCTCTTCATTCTCATTCTCATCCTGGACTGGTGTGCTCCCACCACTTCCTACAAAACAAAAATACAAAGGAGTATTCTAAGAGGGTTATAGTCAACTTTTTGAGTGGTCATTTTGGCCAAATTTGGGGCCATTTTGGTTAGTTGCCAAGGTGACAACAACCCTTCTGAGAAGCATTAGATAAGCTTACTGAATGCACCTTTTGTCCGCGTCACAAAACCCCAAGAATTTGATTTGTTTGTTGTGTCATCAAACTGACAAATGTTCAAGAAGGCCATCTTTGGACCATAACTAGCTATATCAAAAATAAACGTGTGGAAACAAACACAGCGATTTTCCTGTAGATTCTTCATGCCTTGGTAGAACAAGTGCAATACTCAGATTATCAAAAGACAATCCAGACCTACCAAAGAGAATTGTCGTCACAAGCTCATTTTGGATTGAAACTGAAAGTGTATTTCGTTTGGCCAGGCAGCTTTATGTTGTCAAATTTTTGGTTTGTTTACGTACTGAAGAGTACAAAACCTCGTAAAATGTCAATCTCCCACAACCAATTCATGAACATAGATCGATAAAAATGTTCCTAATAATTACCTCCATCGTCGATATCCATGTTGAATCTGTTTTTATCAACAAATGTAGTAAGAAAATTGGCAAACAGTGTGAAATATATTTTATCGCGTTTTATTTTTCCGTATAGCTTCCCTTTTCGCCATCTAGCGGTCAGGAGGAGATAACCCCCAAAATTTAACTTGGTTATGTCCCTTTACAGTAAACCCTTAAGATAAAGGCCAATAATGTCACGATCTATCAAGGGCATTTTCCTTTCTATTTTAAAGCTTTCGAGGCATGACAAGTTTTGATAATTTGAGATCACTGATGATATGGATTTTTGCAATGTAAATCAACAAATCTTTTAATAGTAAATAGACACTATTTATATAATACAAATATTAACAGAATACAAATCAACAAATACATTTTATAGAGAATAGACACTATTTATATAATACAAATATTTACAGAATACAAATCAACAAATACATTTAATAGAGAATAGACACTCTTTATATCATACAAATATTAACAGAATACAAATCAACAAATACATTTTATAGAGAATAGACACTCTTTATATAATACAAATATTAACAAAATACAAATCAACAAATACATTTTATAGAGAATAGACACTCTTTATATAATACAAATATTAACAGACTACAAATCAACAAATACATTTAATAGAGAATAGACACTCTTTATATAATACAAATATTTACAGAATACAAATCAACAAATACATTTAATAGAGAATAGACACTCTTTATATAATACAAATATTAACAGACTACAAATCAACAAATACATTTTATAGAGAATAGACACTCTTTATATCATACAAATATTAACAGAATACAAATCAAAAAATACATTTAATAGAGAATAGACACTCTTTATATAATACAAATATTAACAGACTACAAATCAACAAATACATTTTATAGAGAATAGACACTCTTTATATCATACAAATATTAACAGAATACAAATCAAAAAATACATTTAATAGAGAATAGACACTCTTTATATAATACAAATATTAACAGAATACAAATCAACAAATATATTTTATAGAGAATAGACACTCTTTATATAATACAAATATTAACAGACTACAAATCAACAAATACATTTAATAGAGAATAGACACTCTTTATATAATACAAATATTTACAGAATACAAATCAACAAATACATTTAATAGAGAATAGACACTCTTTATATAATACAAATATTAACAGACTACAAATCAACAAATACATTTTATAGAGAATAGACACTCTTTATATCATACAAATATTAACAGAATACAAATCAAAAAATACATTTAATAGAGAATAGACACTCTTTATATAATACAAATATTAACAGACTACAAATCAACAAATACATTTAATAGAGAATAGACACTCTTTATATCATACAAATATTAACAGAATACAAATCAAAAAATACATTTAATAGACACTCTTTATATCATACAAATATTAACAGACTACAAATCAACAAATACATTTTATAGAGAATAGACACTCTTTATATCATACAAATATTAACAGAATACAAATCAAAAAATACATTTAATAGAGAATAGACACTCTTTATATAATACAAATATTAACAGAATACAAATCAACAAATACATTTAATAGAGAATAGACACTCTTTATATCATACAAATATTAACAGAATACAAATCAACAAATACATTTTATAGAGAATAGACACTCTTTATACAAAATTCTTAATTTCTTATATTTGCGTAATAGAAGTATATTCTTGCTTTGATCGGTTATTATAGTTTATTGTGGGTATGTTATGTGCTGAAGGGAAACTATGTGGAAGAGATTACCACTAGTTAACAGATACAGTGGAGAAAATGTAACTTTGACATATAATCGATTATGAAATTTGATAATCAAAGTATAAATTCTTAGCGACGATAATCGATTATTTCGATCATTTTATCCAACCCTACTATTGGCCTTGATATTTATGTCTATGAGAATCTCCTTCTTAGTTTTACCTTAATACGCCTACTAATATAGTCAAGAATATCTCGCTGATTAAAAGCCTGAGCTGTACATATGATTCCACCAAAACATTTGATTTCCTCAAAATCAATTTCTGAATTTTTAGTGTTTCTTTTCGGTTTTAAAACAAGAGTATTTAACTTTTTTTGACAAAAGCTATCAACATTCTTAATTCTGTTTATTAAAAGTACAAAATGTTTAAAATGGCCTATGACACATGTGGCAAATATAGCTTTTTTAAACAATGATGATGGCACTTTAAATTTTAGTTCTTTACATGTCTTCAAAATCCACTCCAGCAATTTTGGTGATTTGTTGAAAACAGCTAGATATAAAATGTTTGATTCACAGAAAGATCTCATATTATGAATAATGGACAGCTTTTCTTCTGTTTTCAGTTCCTGTTTGAAGTCATCCACAAATTCTTCTGAATTCCATATTTCATGGATGACAACAGTAGCCACATGCTTACCTTTCAGAATTTCTTGAATGAAACGTTTAACAATGCTACAATTTTCATTTTCAAACGAAGTTTTACGCATATTAGTCATTTTCGCTACGACATCGACCAAAAAGCCAATGGGACAATGTTTGATTAAGAACGCCTTAATACTTTCTGTACATAAAACAGCATATTGCATCATGCGATGACGGAAGGCAAACTTTAAAGCATATAAATTATCGTGAGAATCATCAGCTTCATCGTTTTGGATTTTTAGATACGAACCTACTAATTGATCTAAAATCTGTGATAAATTTCCATCAATGCTTTGCCTTAAAACTTCAGCAAGTTCTCCTTTTTCAGATTCATCAAAAACTTCATGGAATGCAACTAAACGTAACACATGATATCCATCTGGCCATTTTTCTTTTAAAAACTTAATATCATTGATAAAGCAATCCAATGGCAAGGAAAACAACTGAAGCACATTCTCATCGTGTCTGCTGTAAATAACAAATTCTTCACAAGTATCTAAAAATATAGGATTTTCCGCCATACCCAATATGTCATCAATATCCTGATTTGTCAAAAAGCGACCGTTTGTTTTTACAAGCTCTGAAGATTTTTTGAGAATTTCACGTTTTTCATCTTTACTCAATAAATGATCTTCTTCTTCCAAATTTACCACGTAATCAGGTAAACCATGTTTTATGCAATTTTTTAGACTTTCTTTGTTTCGTTCGAATGAAAGAGGATCCAATAAAAAAAGTGCTGCCTCTAAATTTCTTAAAGTTGATAGATCTTTGATAAAAGGTGAAATACTTTCAAACTGGGTACCAAGAGGTCCAAAAGCATCTTCCATGAAAATTGCAAAAGGCTTGGTACTCTTTGAACAAATCTTCCAATCTTCAGGACCATTCAATCTAAATACATCAACTCGAGACCTGTATTTCTCGTAAAAGTTTAGAATAATCGACTTCTTAAAATATCCCGAAAAGCCAACCACAAACGCTATTTTGTCTGTGTTAAGAACACTTTTCCACGCTTTGGTTTGAGAAACATCGAAATAACAATTTACAACCTCCATTACATCAGCTGTGTGTCCTAAAATAACATAATAAAAAAAACTGTTACACATACATGGCAAGGGGTGGCTACAAAAAAAAAACCCTATTTCAACAAATGAGCTCTTCCAATCATACATATATATAGTTTCATATTGATAGAAAGTATGCATGTGTGGAAGAGTTCAGTTGAGGGGTGTCTAATACAAAACTAAGTCCAGTTTTGAACAAATCTCCCTTTATTCACAGATTTATCAATTTTGGTTAACAAGGTATATAAGTATCATGAAAAAATTCTTATGAATTACAATTACTAACTTTATTTGAGAGAAGTTTCGACCAGTGTTCTCTGGTCTTTATCAAGCAATGAATAATATTACAAAGATTAACAAGCATATATATAGGTAAAGAGAAAACAACATAACAAAACAAAGGATTAAGAACCCAATTAAAGTATCTAACTTCTAATGTTTGATTAGGTGATCAGAGGCTCTGGGAATGAAAACTCCAGGATCTCTGTTGATTGGCGGATTATGTCTTCTTATTTGGATGGCTTCAATAATTTTCCTTTCTTTCTTATTGTTTTTGTTGATGGCTAATGTAATGGTTTCATTCCAATTGACTTTGTGGCCTGTAACTTTTATATGGTCTTGGATTGCTGAATGGTTGTTGGCTGCATTTGATTGATGTTCTTTGATCCTTTTTTGAAGTGGTCTCTTCGTTTCCCCTTTGTACGATTCCACAAGAACAAAAAAAAAGACTTAGTTTTGTATTAGACACCCCTCAACTGATTGTAATCCATAAGAATTTTTTCATTATATCCAACACCTTTACTAAATGCCATTCAAAGATCAAGGTATATAAGTGTACAAAATTGTTCACTTGGTGGGATTTAAACCCATGGCGCCAAATTGTCTAGCAAAACCAGTAATGGTTTCCAACTTACTTAATAAAAGCTCTGTTCCATCATCTGTTATAAACTGTTTATGAGTAAGGTTGGTAACATTTTGGATATTTACATTGGTCTGCTGGGCATTAGGAATCCCCACAATTCCATTATTATGTAGCACCAATCCATTCACAGCATCTAAAATTAGTCAAAGGTCAGTTTTTGAACCTCTGAAGACTATCTACATATATGCAAGACCCAAATCTACCCACAAAAAGGAGCGAATTTGCATAGCAATTTAAACTTTTGTGGAGCGATTTCTTCTGCTTCTGTGATAGTCTAGAGAAATATGTCCCCTAAAGTATCTGAAAGTTTTAACTAACAAAAATCCAGACGTTAACTTTTAAACGCCAAAAATATCTAAAATCATAACGTAAGGTTTTAAAGTTCGTTATACTTTTTGGAAGCTGTTAGAAAACTAATGTACGTATTTGAGTAAAATAAACACCGAATTGTAGAGAAATATGTCTCCTACGTATTCTAAAGGTTTAAACATTAATAATAATAATAATCTTTGTAAGAGATATAGAACTAGAAGCAGGAAGGTAAACATTACGAACACAAGTTATATGGATATACTACTTCTAGTTTTATTACACCTGTATGTGTTTCGAAACGTAGTATGTAA